GTTGCCCCCCCCCCCCCCCGAGTAAGTCGGTGCTAGGGTGGGTAGGTAGCTGACCATCATGAGGTCCTCGGCGACGAACTCCAGTTCTGTGTATGCCCACAGCATCATGGCCACGTCGCGAGGCGTGCACTCGCCCCCACGGATGCGGGGCGGGTACACGTCCTCGACACGCTGGAACACACCCCAATCCTGAATCTGACCATGATACACACATAAATCGGTGTGTCGATGGATGCAGGAGTGAGTGCTTTGCTCACCCCCTGTTTGGCGTAGCTCCAGAGTATGACAGCCACATCGACGGGCTTCATGGCTGCCACGTCCCTGCCCCTCGTCAGCTCCTCGCTGGCCCGTGCGTACAGCTCTGGTGCGCTGTAGTCGAGCTTGGCGAATGACCACAGGAGCATCTTGAGGCCCTGGTCACTGAACTCGTGCAGCCGGTGCATCGTGTTGGCCGCCAGACGGTCCATCAGCGCTTCATTCCTGGTGGAAAGAAGGGAGACAGCAAGCCTGCCTGGGTGTCGATCGGCGGATGGATCGATCGGTGGATTGGCTGACCTGATGTGTGTCTTGCCGTACGCCCACGCAATGATGGAAAGCTCCCACGCTGACATCTCGGCCAGACACCTGGACAAACCACAGACAGACAGACAGACAGGGATGGGCACACGGATGTCTCGAGAGTGAGTGTTGCCACAGCTACCCAGGGTGTGCGAGTATGTGCGCCGCCACTTTGTCGAAGAGCGGCCGCTCCCACACGCCCGCCACAGTGAAGGCCCACAGGCCATTGGCCATGTCACGAGTCCCATACTCCTGAACACACACACACACACATGGACACACATCAGCCGACGGTGCCCTCCTTTCTCCTTCCTCCGCCCCACACTCACGTATAGTTTGGCCATGGCATGGTCCCTCACGGCGGCAAACAACTCCTGTGAGTCCGCGGCGCTTACGTTGGCCCTCGCCAGTGCGGCCGCTGTCTCCACCACCTGGGGTGCGCTGTACCTCATCCGCACGAACACGTCCCCACCCTCGGCCATGGCTTTGGCGATCTTGGTCACCAGCCTGGTGTCGACGTGTGAGTCGCCCACGAGCGAGAGGGCGTTGAGTGTGGCCGTCAGCACCGTCGGGTCGTAGTTGCGCAGAGACGTCCAGCCGTCGATGCGCTGGCTCAGCGTCTAATGGAGAGAGATAACGTCAGGCAACAGCAAACAGATGTCATCATCTCTCTCTCCCATCTGTGGGCGTGTGTTCTCTGGGCTACCTTGAGCAGTTCTGGGTATAGAGCAGCGTTGCCCTCCGTCAGAGAGAGGTAAACATTGTCGCATGACTGGTGTGCCTTGGCGATGGCCCACAGCAGGTTGGACACGTTGAGAGCGGAGAACGAGTCCAGATGTCGGGTCGCGAGCTCGGCCGCCCTCTCAAACAGACTCTGATGGATGGAGGGATGGGTGACACATAGGTGCACAGACACGTATGCGTCCGGACAGACAGAAGGGACAATTTGTTGCTGGCGCGACCTCTCTCACCGTAGGGAATATGTGTGCGTTGGCGTATGTGTAGAGCAGCCGCGACAGCTGCGGGCCATGCAGGTCAGGGAGCCTGCCCTCGATCCGAGGAGCAATTTCCTCGTACGCTTGTCGGAACTTCCCCTGACAGGAGGAGGAGAACACGCAGAAAGGAAGGGAACACACAGATGGGATGGGTACATCGCATCCATGGACGGACGACTTGCCTCGCATGGCGTACGTACCCTGTGCGGCAGTGTGGCCTTTCCGACAGCGCTGAGTATCATGGTGAGCTCATGGGGGGGCATGGCCTCCAGGCTGCCTTCCTCACGCAGCACCCGCATGATGTCCCACAAGATGCCCTCCAGCTTGCGAATACGCAACGAAACAGCACCATCACCATCTCTCTCTTCCCTCTCATCTTCACCCCTATCCTCATCATCATCAATCTCGTCGTCATCAATCAAGTACCTGTGGCCTGCCGGCAGGCCATTGCTCTCCCTCCAGCTGGCCACAGCCGTCCCCACACTCGTCGCCAGCACCGTTGTGAAGGCCAGTATATCCCACCCTCCCGCGCCCCTCTCCCACCCCCCACCGCCCCTGATGCGTCGTGACACTTCCACCAGGTTCCTGTGGATGCGATCAATATCGTCGAACAGCCACGTCTGCCACAGACCGAAGCGAGCCGCTGCGCACAAAGCCATCAGTAAGAACGAATCGCTGAAGCGGCCCCTGAGGGCCGACGAGCGCGCGATGAGTGTGTCGATGGTCTCTCTATGCCTCGCGCCGATAACGCTGAACGCCCAGAGGGTCATGGCGACGTCGGGCACATTGAACTGGCCCACTCGGTGGCGAATGACACCCTCGAGCTTGTCGAAGACGCGGCGAACAACACGATCGTGGACCGTCAGCGAGGCCGATGCTGACTCAGGGAGCTTCATGGGGTCAGATGCGTCACCATCGCTCTCGACAATGGTGGCAAGGGACCACGCGACCGTTGCCATGTGCTGCGGCCGCCTGATGCCCCCATCCTGATCAAGCAATTCCAGGAAGCGGTGACACAGGGCGTCGGTGAGGGGAGGCAGCCGCACCCGCATCGACGCGATGGCCCACAGGCATTGGGAAACTGCATCCTCACCGAATCGGCCCACAAGTGATGGCGACACCTGCTTCAACAGCCTCAGAATAGCGGTCTGGTTGGCCCCCCGATTGCCGTGTTCGCGTTCTGCCCTCGCCAGCGCTGCGATGGCTCCCGCGAGGTCAACTGGCCAGCTGTACTTGCCTTCAGTGGTCTGCAGGCGGGCGGCGAGAGCCATGGTGCTGAGGTCCATCAGAGGACTGTCCACTTGCAGACGCGACAAGCCCAACATCAGCCTCGATATGAGGAAGGGCGGCAGGCTGCCGATGTCCTCCTGACGGCTCTCCAGTCGACGCAAGATGCCCAGAAAAGTCGGGTCGGTCTTGATGGCGGCCAGTGCATCGTCAGTCCCCTTTTTCCGCCGCTTGCCGTCTGACCCCTCCCTCTCGAACGCTCGCACAGCGTGGTCGCCTCGCTGTGCATGGAAGGACCCTACTTTCGCCACAAGCAGCACCAAATGGTCCAGATCCACCAGGCTGTCATCACTGGTATTAGCCACACGGAGCAGCTCCGCAGCAGATGTGGCGTTGGCGATCTGTTCGTTGAGCCGAAGGGCCTCGGCACTCGGCCGCCGCCGCACTCTATAGTTGCTGGTGGTGTTGTCAACGTGTTTGCTAGAAGGGGAAGGCGGATGCCTCTTCACTTTCCGGAGATCCACAAGGGCGGATGCGGGCTGCGGTGCCACGACAAACCCACACAGCTTGACCAGCCGCCGCTTCTGATTCATCAGGGCTGCCCGGCGTAGGTGGGTAGGGGTGAGAATGGGCCTTTGGAAAGCGGGCAGCGGTAAGGAGGGGAGCATTGCCGTCGAGCTGTCCATCTCCCCGTGGCGATGGTTGTGGCTCATTGGACGAGTCAATGATGGTAGTTGAAGCTTCCTCTGCCGCTGTTTCTGTTTCTGGCTTTCTTCTGCGCCCACGCGAGGCCATGGCCACCGATGCTGCTGCAGGTGGGAATGACTTGAACATGATAATCCCAAGATGCCGAAGATCACCACCCGCATCGCATCCTTGCTGCACGGATACAGCCGTGTGAACGTCGGAGAATCAAATCACGTTGATACTGATATCAAATCACGTTGATACTGATGGCTGATCTCTCTGGCGGCATTTTAGGGTTAGGGTTTTTAGGGTCAAGGGTTCAAAACCCTGATGCGCCAAACCCTGAATTACGCAGATCTTTTCGCCGTGGGCGCGGATCTTTTCGCCGTGCGCATCGTCATCATGGTGTATGGTTTGATGATTCACTCTGTCGACTCATCACATCGCCTGTTCTTCTCCATCTTCTACTCGCCGGAGGGCAACGACGGCCAGAAGAAAACACGGCAGCAGGTACACGCCCACGCACATGAGTCAATGAGCATGTGCACAACGAATGGAATGGGTGGCTGACTGACTGGCTGACTGCAAATGTTGCGCTTGCTTCGCAGACCATCATGCGGCGAATCTTAGAGGAACACCTATTCCAGGTCGGCTGCCTGCGCATCCCTCAACAACACCACGTTGCTCACCAATTCGTTGGTTGTATGTGTGTGTTGGTGTTGGTTTGCTTGTGGCAGACCCAGTGTGCGAGTGATGCGCCGCCCAAGCCAGTACCAAAGGGCAGGATGCACTTCCCCTCCCCAATGACACACTCCTCGGCTGCTCTGCCCAGTGGCGCCGCGGCTGCAGACGATGACTGGTTCCTCAGGCTGTACGCAAACACCGAGTAGGTGTATGAACGAAGGAAGGGAGGATGAGTGACGGCCCATACGGCTGTGCGCTTGTCATGTATCTGTGTGGGGTTTTAGCAGTGGTTCTCGGCGCTCCAGCCCGCCTGCTGCGGCAGCAGACATAACGGAGGGTACACACACTGCTCTGCAAGCGTTCGTCTGCTTCGTGAAGTTCGCGCTTGTCATCTGTGGATGCAGGCATTCTCCGTTTCCAACCGTCCCCCCTCTTCCAGACGCCCAAACTAGTCGTGTGGAAACAAATGGACAAGTAATGATCAGGCGGACACAGAGGCATGCATGGATCGATGTTCAGCTATCTCTCCGTGTGGGTCTCTCATCAGAGTGGCCTACACACTCATATGCGAGCCTCTTGACAACGTCCTGCTGGTACGCACGGACAAGGACAGTCATGCGCAGCCTGAGCCGCGTCCCCTTTTGCAGGCGACTACATTCCTGACGTTGTTTGTTCACGTGATGATTGAGCACTTCCGCCCTTTCCAGCCTGGCAGTGGTATGGGGATGCCCATGGGCCTGCCGGTGCCCATGGCAGCGAAAAGACAACAACACAACGTCATCGCTGAAGAGGTGAGCGATAACGCACAGAGGAAAAGAATGCGATTATGTGTTCCTTTTGTGCGTGCAGTTCTTGGCTCGTCCTGACGACATTCTGGTCATCCTGCATCATCTGCTGCCTGGTGTGCTTCTATACGAGCTGCAGCGATGTTGTCTTCCACATCGGTGTCATGTGTTTGCTGCGCTGCAGGTGGTCAGCTGTCTTTCACCAATTTGAGCCTGTGTACATATCTCAAGGGACGGATCAACGTTATGCTGGCGCAGAAGGTCTAGAGCGGATTTCTAGAGAGTGGCGGCGGCGCAAGCCCCTGTGTAGAACTTTTCCGTGTACTATGTGTTAGACGATCGGCTATGCACTCGATGACGACGGACAGAGATATGCAACCGAATTTGATGTCAAATAGCATAAGTCCGTCCTCGTTTGTGGCATGCAAATGTATACGTATGAAGCATTACTGTACTGTGTAAGTGGAGGCCTATGCCCCCCTGCCTGCTTGCCTGGCTGCCAGACTGCCTGCAGTCCCTGTCATCCACATCGGCCGTAGATAGACACGATGCATGAGACACATCTTGTGGCTCAAACTTCCTTCTCACCAGACAGCAGGTTGGCCTACCACTCACGTACACGTGCATGATAAATCGATTCATTCATTCACACGAAACAAAACGAAAGAGATAAAAGACCTGCGTACTGCGTACTCACGAATGCACCCCTGTGCCAACAAACGCCAGTGACACAGGACACTATAAATGTATGTATGTGGGTGTGAGCGTGTCTGTGTGAGCCGTGTGCGTGTGTGTAGGTATGTAGCCAGTGAGTGAGTGCATGGAGGGATGTCCTATCACGACCACGTGCACCCGGCATCAATCAGACAAATAGAGACACACCCAGCAGCTGCTCGCCCCTTCCCTTGTAAGAAAACATCACACACGCACACCGCATCACTACATGCTTCATCTGAAGGCAAGGAACTCGCCCCTGCTGGATGTCATCCGTCTCCTCTCCTCGGCTGTCGCCTTGTCGGACGGATCATGCGCTGTTTCCGCATCTGACGCCTCAGCCACACTCTCCTTGGGCGTCGCGCCCTCATCGTCAGCCGTCGGCAGCTGCACATGACACATACACGGACCATCACCCATGCACCTGTCCGTCGTTTGTCGATCTGTTTGTCTGCTTACTGTGATGCCAGGCGGGATGAGGACCTTGTCGATGACGTGAACGACCCCATTGCAGGCGAGCAGATCCTGTCTCTTCTTGTCCTCCTTGGCCTCCGAGTTGAGCAGCAGGGTGCTGTTGGTGGTGTTCTTGCCGTCCAGCTCGACGGTGATTGACACGGGCAGGAAGGTGCCGACAGTGATCTCATCGTGGCCGTCGAGCGCCTGATGGATGACTTGGTGTGTGGCATTGGCGGGCACGACGTGGTAGAGCAGGATGGTCTGGAGGATGGGCTGGTTCTGCTCCTCAAGCAGCAGGTCCATCAGCGAACCCAAGCTCTTGAAAGCCGCGTCGGTCGGCGCTGAGAACATACCATGGAGGGCCATTTGTAAATTCGCTCGCTGTTTACAAAGTGCTCACCGAAAAGCGTGAACGGGCCGGTTCCCTCGAGTGTGTCCGTCAGCTTTGCCACATTGGTGACCTCGACAAGCGTGGAAAGCTCCTGCACGCGTACGAAGAAGCAAGCAAATCGAGCGATGAATCAACCTGTAACATTTTGTGTGAGGTGCTTCACTCACCTCCTCCTCAGCGACGTCAAGAACCGTCTTCTCACTCGCTGTCGAGTTTGTCCAGTTGGTGCTGCTCTGAAGCTTGCGGGATGCGGTTGCGGTCTGTGCAAAAACGCGCAGTGACAAAGGAAAAAGGAATCACGCTGTTCGTATGCTTGCTTGTGTCGCTGGTGCAGAGGCACTGACTGACTGAGTGACTGACTTTGTTGCAGCTTGTCAGTGCGCCCTTGGCCATGACTCCCTCCGCAGCCAGCGTGCCGTTAGCCATGACTTCCTCCGCAGCAATGGTGCTGTCGTCGTCGTCGTCGTCGAGGTGGACACTCTGGGCAGTTGACTTGAGCAGGTACAGCTCCTCCTTCTCCTCATCGCTCAACTTGGCCTCGGGAAGCTCCTCATCTTCGCCCTGCAAGCAGCAAACCAACAAGTATCAGCAATTCATCCGTTGCTTGTCCTGTGTCCCTGTATCCCTGTCTGTGTGTCTGAAGGCTGACCCCGAATAGGCTGAAGAGGCTGCCTGACAATCCGCCCGGATAGAGGACCTCGTCGATGGCATTGACGATGCCATTAGCACACACAACGTCGCTGGTCGACGGGAGGATATCCGCGCCCAAGTTGAGTCTGATGCCCTCTGTCTCTCCGCTGATGCGGAAGAAGATCTCGTCCAGGATGAGCGTCTGCACCTTCATTGCGCCAAAGGGAGCCAGCGTGTCGACGAACTCCTCGTTGGTAGCGTTGGCAGCGACCGCGTGGTACTTCAACACCTGCAATCAGCAACGATGGGAGTATGCAATCAATCGATGCCTGAAGCCCACAAGTGATGTCCCGCTGTTTACCGCTTGCAGCAGAAGCCGTTTGTTCGGCCTTGTGAGGTCGGCAGTCTTCAACGGCACTTCGGCGAAAGCTGCGTCGGTTGGCACGAACATGGTAAAGGGTCCGCCCGTAGCAAAGAAGGTGGTCAGATCGGCCAAGTCTAGCAGCTTCAGGAATGTGCTAAAGCCCTGAACCAAGACGAACACGTAAGCACGAAGTCACGATCTGCTGGACACACAAAATCTGATGGTCGATTGCATACCAGTCCCTCCCCGAGTTCGTCAGTCTGCAATGCCACAGGAAGTAGGAGAGGCAGATAAATTAGGAGCTGCATTCGATTCGAGCGTGTGTCACTTTGCTTACCAGGGCTGCAAGGCATGCGGGGATGGGGAGGTCACTAAGCTCTTCGGCCGTTATGTTGGTCGTTGTGTTGGTCGCATTAGTCCCGTCTTCTTGGAGCGCACGACCCGGTGCCTGGAAGGAGCAAGAGGTCAAGTCGATGAACACCGGCGCACAGAGCCCGTGTCTCACCTCGTCATCGTCAGCCTCGTCTGGGGACTCTGCTGCTCCGCTCTGCTCGGTGGCGTTGGTGCCGTTCTTCTCTGCCGCCTCCACATTGGCGATGGCTTGCTCGAGGGCCTTCTCGAGGTCAGCGAGCTGCATGGCACAAACACACACACGGAGACACAGACGTGCGGCGTCAGTCCCTCAGTCAGTCAGTCAGTCTGTCTGTCTGCCCTGTAGATCGGTTGTTGATTGGTCTCTTTGTGCGTTGCATGCTTACGGCGAGTCCAGGCGGGATGAGGACCTTGTCGATCTTGTGGACGACGCCATTGTCTGCTAACAGGTCGGCCTCGACCACCTCGGCGCCCGTGTTGACGATGAGCGCGCCGTCCTCCTCCTTGATGATGACCGGAATTTGGATGAAGGTCTGCGCGCTGATGGCCTTGGTGTCGTTCAGAGCGTCCACCAGCACGTCAGACGTCGCGTTGGCCGGAATGATGTGGTACTTGAGGATGGTCGACAGCAGCGGAAGGCCCGTCGGGGTCAGCAGCAAGTCTACTAGTGATCCAAGAGCCTCAAAGGCTTCGTCGGTTGGCGCCAGGAAGGTGAAGGGGCCGTCGTTTGCGAGGTCATCCAGCAGATCCGTCGCGTCAAGCGCGGCTTTGAGGGTGGTTAGGTCGCCCTGCAACAAGAGACGGAAGCATCACGACACGAGGCACGGATGAGCAGATCATCGACATGTGTGTGTATTGAGGGGGCCGGGGCAAGGGCGCTTACGTCTTCCGCAATGATCCCAGCCACAGTGCCCTCCAACTCGACATCAT